TGACTTTTGAACATATGTTGTGTGGATGGAGATTCCTCAAATTTAAAAAAAATTAAATAAAAAATTTAATTAATGTAAAATTCGTCTTTCTAAAGCTATGCAGAAATTTTTTTCTGATTTTAGTGAAGAATTTCTACTGGCCATAGAAAGAGAATAATGTTGATAATTAGCTTAAAGTTGTTAAATGCTGTTTTCTATTCTATACAAAAGCAGTTTGTGATTAGTATAAAGGTGGACAAGTCAATAGGGGGACTTCAGCCACGAAATGGTTGGAAATACTTTTACATGAGTCAGACAGCTTGAATGAGCATGAGAGCATGAAGAGGTTACATTAAGTCCAAGTGGAAAAAGAAAGTAACAGTGTGCTTAGGTAGCCTCATAATTAACCATATTTGAATGAGGCAAAAGAAGGACAGTAAGCTTTTTTCATTTTGTTTTTATAATGTAGCCATGGGATGTAAAATGTAAAAAGCTTCTCCAAACATTGTACATTTGTTACAGTTTTTACTGTTACCCATTTAACCCATCTCTAAACTTTATAAGCTTACCTACTTTATCTCAAGGTGTATGATGTCTTCTCATTGAAAACAACTTCTATAACTTTGAAACAGATATAATTGAACACACAAATAGTTTCACAATTCACAACAAAAGGGAAAGAAACGCTTACAGAAGCTGTAAACAAAACTCTTAAACCTGCATATTTACTCTTTTAATATGTGATTGCCTATTCCTTGCTCTATACAATCATAAACTTTTTATAGCTGCTTTCAAAGATTTGTTTTATTTATAAAATAATGAAACCAGTTGATGTGATAGCACATCAGACTTCAACTAAGGCCTGTACAAAACTAAGAGAAACACTTGAAAATGAAGAAATGAATAATGTATTCTCACAGGGTGATAAGTTCTTAGTAAAAATATACTTATTCTTTGGAATGGCTAAGAAAATTCTAAAAAAATCAACAATTAAGTTGTTTTGTTTACAGGCAAAACTCCTTGCAGCTCTGCATAAGTGAAAATATCAACTTTTTTCTTCATGCATTACACTAAACAATATAAATAAAAAATTAGGAATTTAAAAACCTGGAAATAGGAATCATAAAAAAGTAAGGAAACAAGGCTGGAGATACTGTAGACATTATTTACTCAAACTACAAACCCCTATATTAGCTCCATGCTGTTATGTAGAACTACATTTGGAGGAGTCAAAATAAGAGGTTCATGAGTAGTTGTCTGAGCAAATTCTCACTAGTCCACACTCAATCTCCCACAAACTCAGTAACAGAGCCAACAGGAGAAAAAACATAAGACTGCATATAAGACTCTACCTCTCAGTGTATAAGGAACTGTATGTCCTCTGCAGAAGGTGGCCCCCCTCCCAATGCCCGGGTAACATTAGTATCATAAGATGGTAGAGAAGGGACGTCAGGTAACTTTGTATCTGAGACGTGAATGTGAATATTCATATTTGAAAAAAACATCTCCAAAAATTGTTTGTTGTTTTCTTGTAAAATCAAGAAAATAAACAATAAGCTCAAGCCCCACTAAAAAGATCTAAAATAATTCAAAAGAAAAATTGAAAATGTTGTAATAGTGCTGAAGATAAAATCCTGTCTTCATAATTTTTGCCATTGATAAAAAGTAAATAAAAAAAGAATAACTGGAAGTTTATGTACGGATCGAGTAAAGAGGACATACTGACGTTGGTAGAGAGAGTCACAAGATTAAAATTACAAGGAGGAATACAGTGGGATATAAAAACTGGAGTAAGCAAGGTAGAATTTATACCACTGCAAAGAAGAGAACCTTTCATCAGGATAAAGCTAAAGTATGAGTGGAAGTAAGTGTGTTTAGGAATTGTTATTTTCATATCAATCAATTTAATCAGAATTTTCACTTTGATTAATCGATTGCTGGAATAATCAAAAATGGTAGTAATCACCAATTTTAATTAGTTAATTTTTTTTCAGGACATTAATCAATTAATCATGATTTCAATTAACTGATTAGTTTATGGGACAATAATTAATGAAGTTGCTTCTCATAGATAATCAATTAAATTGCCCAGCTCTACAGGTGAGTAGATTAAAACAATTGGAAAAAGTGTCTTACTAGGGGACACAACAGCACGATGTGAGCCAGCATTGAACTCACAACCATCCAAATACAAATCCAAAGTATGAAGCCACTGTGCCACACTGCCCCTTATCACATATAGGGTGATGCAAAAAATCACAAATTATCAGTATTTTTTCTAATTCCTTCACATTTCCTCACAAGATTCATAACACATTATTATAACAAAAGAACAGAAAATTAGTGGAACATAAACATAGATTTAGAGAAATCACAGTAAATGTGGGGCTTATAGAGTTGCATAACTTTTGCATCACCTAGTATTTCATGTTTATAAAAATTAATAATTTAACTTGAGAAATTACATTAGTACAACTAACATAATGAATATATAATACTTTGATAAGAAGATCACATATGTGGAAATATTCTAGTCTGTGAGCTTAGTTTACTTCACATCCAGTTGTGAACTGAAACTGGGATAAATGTATTTTTGCATATTTTTTCTCATATACTGCACAAACAATATCCCTACTAGATTTTGAGGACAAATTTAATTAATTATTTGATATATTCCAAAAGTGTAAAACTTTTAAAACAAAAGACTTGAAACCAATTACTGCAAGAAGCTAAATAAATATATTAGGAAAAAAATTCCATGATGTAAAAATGTCATGTGGTTAATGTCAAACTAATTCTTAAGGAAAGTTTCTTTTGTTTTTTTAAATCCAAATTAATTGTTTATTGTGGCAAAATAACTATGTCATATATTACTCAAGCATTCAAACAGGAAACCTTTGATGAGGTCAATTTTCACACTCCAAAGTGATAATAGTACAAGACTAGACCTGATATACGTTCAGTCTATGTACAATGCCTTGTTTAATCCAGTGTTTTCTACATAAAATTTGGTTTCAATATTTTAAACCCTCTAAAAAAAAATTATGAATACTTACAAACATATTTGTAAGTATTGGTAGCATGCTGAAATCCAAAATTACCGCTGTTGGAAACTTCAACTTGAGTATAAATGTGTATAAATTTGTTTCTAAAATATGAAATAAACTAAGGGTAAAATGCACATTCTATACAGTAATTGTACTTTTGGTAATTATCAAATGCTCATTATCTACGTGTATCATATTCTTTTCAAATTACTTGTTGAAATTATAAACATTAAAAACTGAGTCAAAATTATTTTTATTACAAAACATAATCTATTACATTTATAATGTTATTTGAAATATATTTAGAAACTAAGTCTCATTAATACACCAGTGGTACTTTGAAGAACCCATTTACTTTATCACTACTATGAAATTGGAATCCCAAATTCAAGCTTTTCAAAACTGCTAGCCATTAACTCCAAAGACATTGTCACTAAGTATCACGAATAATTTTACTTGGTTTATTTGGCATTTCACATTAACAACAGTACAAATAAAAGAAGTTCACCAATGAATGGCCCAGAATGTGATGACCCAAGAACTTAATACTACTCACTAAAAAAATTCAAATACTGCTAGACTAGATGTCTTCTATGGGAGTTTGCAAAAATTCAAACAAAGATTGCTAACACTTTGTCTTTTTATAAAGTTAATTCCGAATGTGCCTTTTTTGTACAACTAATAAATCTCACTGCATGCTTTCAGTAGGTTGTTTATAATACATATTTCTTCATGTAACAGTTCAAAAAATGAAACACTCCATAAACTTCTCTCTCAACATAAATGTCCAAATAAAAAAAACAATATTTACACCTAATTTTCTGGTGGAGTACACATTTGTTTCTATGCTATTCTCAGTTCAACATCTTAACCAGAATAATGTCTGTAAACATACATGTCAGAAGAGTCAGTTTACTTTTACATAACTTTTTCTTTTTTTGGAATAAACAAAAAATATAAATTAAACCTACTAACAACATTAACTCTAAAATTTAGATAATCTTAGTGTTCTTTGGCATGAAGCACTAAAGATACATTACAGTGGATTAATAAAAAACCAAAATGCATGTAGCATTAATCAATGATTATTAACAACACTGTTCTGTTCTCTTAATGTGACATACTTACATACAAAAATCAGACAATACACTTTAAAAAAGAACAATAATACTATGGACATAATGTATTCTTATAAGGTGAAAACATTGCTAATAGTATGGGTACACAAAATGATAAAACAATATATTATAATAAGAATACAAAAACAGTGTATTACATTAGCTATATTCATCACTAAGTAGATTTTTAGTTATGATCCAATGTAGATAAGTTACTTACTTTGATTACAAGTTAATATTTATTACCTCGAAACTTCAAGCTGGTAAGTTTGTTTCAAACATATTTTGTGGGATAAAATTACAATTTCTATACTGTTATTCACTTAGTAACAAACATACTTCCCTAATCTTATAGATTTCACCTTATCAGAGATACATGATTAAGAGCAAACAATGAACAAGAACATTTGTTGTATTCATTCATCAAAACTTAAAATTTGTAACAAACTACTAGTACATATAGAACTAATCAGTAAAATATTTCCTTTTATGTATAATATAAAGGATAATAATGGTATTGATGTGCATTTTGGTTAACGAGAATAACATGTCATGCACTAAATTAATTATTAGAAAAAACAACATTAACAGCATTTTGATGAGAGCTTGCACACACCCCTATGCAATTACAAAAATAGTGAAGCTAACACAATTAATTCAGTTACAATGCAAAATAAGCCAAGAATATATATATATATATATACACAACATTATACTACATTTTGTTAAAACTACATAAAAGGATCAGACTGTATAAGTATCAAAATACAATAATTTAAGTACTAGGTGATTCTGGAGTTCCTTCCAGCTTACAGTTTTAAGAAGACACATGTGATATACTAACTGAAGTACTTGCCTGTTCTCTCAAAGGTTCACTATCCTTTCCATTATCTCCCTGATCAACATCTGCAATACCAAGCCCATCTTCTCCATCAGTACCTGTACCTATATGGATTGTTGTAAATATGTAAATGTTTCATTTTCTTTTTACATTAAAATAGTCTTAATACACATTACCCATTCTGTTGACAATAAGGTTCATTATCATTATTTAAATATCAACAGAACCACTGACAAGAAAAATATGGAAATTCCCATCAAGTTCAGTTTACTGAGAAATGAAAGATACACAACACTCGTAATGTTCTTTGAACTGAATACCATGCATATTGTCTTGTAAATGTTTTTTAACTTGTTAGTAAAAATATATAATACATCATCATCACATCCAGTTTTTGTTTGAATTCAATGCAAGCATATTAATTTTGAAACAGCATTATATTTCCAAATATCACAATAATGTCAGTTATCATAATACTTTATCATAAATAATTTTTCTCAGATTTTCAATATTGTACCAATCCTAACAATAATTTTTCACATAATATACCATAGGCATTTACTTTGTGGTACTCTCATATATATATACGGATCCATGCACCTGCTTCTCCTCCCTACATTTGTTCTGGCAGTCATAAGCTGTTTCAAATTAAATGTGCTTGCATTTAATTCAAATAAATAAAAAACAATCTTAGCCTCAAACCAATGTATTTTCAAGTGCTATCAATGTTTATAATGGAAATAGAAAATAACTGAACACTGCATTTTACCACCAATAATACATTTAAGTACATACTATTAAATCAGAGTAATAACCAGTAAACTAGAAATTAAAATGTAGTAACCACTCTAACATGAGGTTTGACAGAAAATGTATTAGAGGGTAACACTGACTGCCAATTTTTACATGGAACAAAAAAAGTTTGCAATTATTTCACAACATTGCTCTTATATCTAAGTAATATTAACAATATTTTCTAAGTATCATTGTTGATTTTCTTGTTATTCAGCTATTATTTCTTACTATACAGGTTAGACTGCTTTAAGATCAGTGTTATTTTACATATTATTCACTACATTTCCAAGAAGGAAAAATGCCTTTTCTTTAAAAATGACAACACATTAAATAGATAGAGAAAACCCTGACTGGAAAAAGGAATCACTTAGTTTACTATATGTAGGATTTTCAAATAAATTGAATTCTAAAAACAGATTTACATGCATATATAAAACCAAGCAATTTTTATAACTCTCATTATAACTTTAATACCCACTGAAACATGATTCTGCATGAAAGTCTATAACATTACCAATAATCTAAATGACCTGTGAAAAAATGGACACGTACTTGCAACATAAATTACAATACCTAATTGTAAGGCTACTCTTAAAAAACTTAATTAACCTTTAGATACAAGCAAAAATTCCTAGCACATCTGTAAATGACCATGTTTAACTGAAACATTTTGTAGAATTGAAGCTTAAAAAATAAAAAATTTTCTAATTCTCCGGTATTTAAACTGTACACACTACTGTAATATACACTGCCTGAATATATTGTTATATGTATACACATACAAAATCATGTCTCAAGTATTTTGTTGTATCAGTACATACTGAAAACACCACACTGGATATAGTTCACAAGTTTATTATTAATATCATATGTAAGCACTGCTTTCTTTATTTCCTCTTATTGTCTATCACCAAGTTCTTATAATAGTCCCCCCCATACCTGTTTGGAGCCAAAACTGTGCACAAGTGCATCATTCCATTTAAGTCTCCATGTTTACTGATAAGACAATAAAGTAAAACTAAAAATGAAATGAATCAATAAATAATATTCATCATCTTCTACAATAAATTATTTACAAATGTAATCTCTGAGAATTGTTGACAATGTCTTCCACTTGTTTTAAAATCAATGAACAAGTCAGAGCATAGGTTTATCACTATATCTATTACTTGTACTAACATATACAGCACTGGCTATCATGGTTGTTCTTATTAGAAAATGTTAAGTGGGAAGTTTTGCAGAGTGTACCCATTTAACTGGTAATGCATTATGTGCTAATGTAACAGGTAATATACTAAACTTGTCTAGTATGGTAATTTTCTGATAATAAGGAAACAAACTTTTACATATCAAGATATTAGTAAACCTTCCTTGACAATGGCTTAAAGCTAAGGCCCTCATTTCACTATTGTTTGAAGCCAATGTTCTACCAAAGGAATTGCTAGGTTATCTGAAGTAGATAACCCTTATCTTGGTCATTACAAAATACCTCTCCTTCAGACAACAAAGCTTAAGTCAAAGACACAACATACAACACAACTCAGTGTCCTTAAGCCACAAACACATAACAATACATCTTCAGACCAGCCTTGTTGGGTTGAAATGCTGTATGTGTGACACTGTTGCTGTTATAGCTGAATAGATGGGGAATCAATCATTTGTGTACACACTTGATTTACCTGTTGGGTTGATATGCTGTATGTGTGACACTGTTTAAATCAAGTGTGTACACAAATGATTGATTCCCCATCTATTCAGCTTAAACAGCTCTCGGGTTGAGACAACCAATATAGTGTTAAGGTATTTCCAAGTGAACTGATTTCCCTACAAGTATCAGATACTTAGACCTGCTAATAACAGCAGATTTGATCATGAAATAACAACAGTAATCTGTGTTTGATAACTTGACTGAATGTTAGGTTGCATGAGGAATAAACAGACTGGACAGATTTGATAAACAGTGAAAACAATCTTTATTTAGACACACACACACAAAAAGTGTGCATGCCAACATATACAAATGTGTGATCACCTCTACTGGATTAGTCAATAATTCATAAACTTTCCATTCCTCAAGATAAGTTTCTGCCAAGCTAGACACAATGAAAGCCCGAACTAAATAGATCTGAATCAAAAAGGTGCATCCAAATTGAACAGGTAAACTTGGTTTCTTTGTCTAATCAACAGCATCACCTTATGACTTTGTTCTCTCACAGCACTAGTTAGCTGTAGCATTCAGCTATATCAATTCAACTAGTAAAGGATATTACAATTGTTAATCTTTTCAACCCAAACTTAAATTTTTAGTATTAACAAAATGAAAAATCTAGTATCAAAATGTAAATTTTTTTTACATCTACACATATAATGCTGTGAAAAGTTCTAGATTTCATAATAAATACTGAATGATTGTCCCATATGTTTTGAATTCTTAAATTTATAAGGAAATATTTTGAAATATCCTCAATCTCACCCTCATATGAGAATTGTAACATTTGCTCTCTAAGTATCATCCTCTTCCCTAATTTATTTACCACTCCTCCAATAAGTACAGAACGCAATGTAAAATACTCATTATAATATTGTTATCAATTAAACAAAGAAAACGTTTTATAGCCTTCAATCTTGCCATGCCCACCCGTCACATCCTCTCTTTCACAAATTGCCAATAGTTCTCCTTGATGTTTAATACTATTATTACTTATAACCAATAGAAAGCCAAAGTTTTAACCTACCAAATGATGTATTTCATTACATTGTTTTCTGTACAGGTAACTGTCTATTTCACTTCCAGTTCAAACTTTATTCCCAAGGGAAACACATCGAAGAGTTTAACTGAATTTTCAGTGGTGCTTATCACATAGTTAGAAAGCCAGAAAAATTATGATAGTTATCAGATACTGTCTGCTTTTTATATGTTATTATTCTGTGTAGTTGGGTGCATTATTTAATTAAATAAAAAACTATTTAGCTTAAAAAAAGTATGGATAAGTTGCGTCGACAGCAAAAAAAAAAGATCCAGGTATTATATTTTTTGTTTTTCATGTGTATACTTTGTTTATTATTATATAAGTAACTAAAATCAAACATTTATTAGTTTATTATGTTAGATAAGGTTGGATTAGAGGTCTGTTCATGTGCCTAACATAATTTGATGTTTGCCATGTGATTTACAACTTATGTGGTGGGACTATTAGTTAGAGATAGTTCAAAGAGCAATAAAACAATAAAATTTAAATACAAACAGATGTATGCTGTTATGATATTTAAGCTATAAATATATGTGGTTTCATGTTACAAGATGAAGTCATTCTAGAAAAAAAAATTTCAATCTAGATTTATTTTGTATTTTTTTTATGGTGGTTACGAGGTCAGTCAAATTGACCAAATATGTAAAGAGTTAGACTAGATAAAATGTAATGTTTTACTGAAAATAAAATAAACATTAGAAATTCATTTAAAAGGTTTTATAGATTATGCAAATGAAACTTGAGAATTTTCAGATGAAGAAAAGTATTTTTAATCTTAACATGAAAATCACCTTGCACTCGGAGAAGTCAACACTTTGACTCCATATATTCCTGGAGAAATATTTAGTGAAAATACTACATTAAAAATTCTGATGTTTTTGTTGCAAAAGACTCTTAACACTTAGTGAAAGTTTTAATTTTCATGAATATACACAGAACATATTAAAAGCTATAGTATTAAAACTATAAATGTCAATTTGAGGTTACGAAATTGGTCAATTAAACCGAGCCCATAGCGAGAGAGTTAAATTAGTGTGTTATATAGGAACATATGTCTATATATGATTCTCACAAATCATTCAAAAAGCATTATTAAGTGATAAAAAATGGAGTAAATACATAAACATCATTACCATGATCTGTGTGGACTATATAAGGCCCATCTTGTACCAAATATGTATCACCAAGCCCAGCACCACCATTTTCTGCAGCTTCCATTTTTTTCTGCTATAACTATAAGAAATAAAGATATCGTAAAAAATCTGTTTGAATCCTATTTTAATACAGACTAAAATAATGTTCTGTTGTCATGCTATGATTAACTGTTTTACATGGTTGAAGAGATGATTTTAATGGATCAATGACTTTCTGTCACCTTCATGTTAATATCATTTTTATAAATCTATCATACTGATCATAATGGCTAACTATCCAGATGACTGTATAAAAGGCCAACAATAACAACCATACATGAAGGCTTTTATGTCAGTGTTCAATTTCTACAGAGGAACTATGCACATAAAAATTATTGAAAATGTACAAACCAAAACTAAAAGATGGACAACAATAGACAAAGGTTTGAAGTAGTGGTGGTCAAAATATTCCTTCTACAAAATTAAAACGCTTATTTTTTTATTCTAATTAGTACTTTAGTGATTTGAAACAACAGGTCATTTTACAATGATTAACCAAAATATCAGAAAACCTTATTTATTGAGCAGACAAATTCTCACTTCATATTTATGCAATGTAGATATTTAGATGTTAGAGATATAAAATCACTAAGAGTTCATACATAAAGGCAATAAGTTGTATGAACATCAGTTGCTGCTATAAGGTGAAAGATTTATCAAGCTTTAACAGTGGAGTTATTATTGAAGCTTGATTGTTAAGTGCCTAAACTGTGATAACAAATCAAAGAATACTGTATCCCAAGTCTACCTTACATGGTTATCAAATCAAAAGTTATCATTTTCCTAAATGAAAATGTATTTCCGATAGGTACTTCCCACTTCTCAAAACATTAGCTTTCCTTGTTTTGTGCTGCCCTCTATATGTGAACTTTTTCATAATCATATGCCACAAGCCTTCATCCTCCCTCTGTTGGAATCCAAAGTTCCAATACATCTCTCATGCAAATCTTCATGCATCACCTCTCCACCAATAGGAGAGCACTACTATCATGTGACACATGTGACTCCCTCTACACACCACTACCGAACTATCACTTCGAAGTTTGGCAGAAGACGTAAGTACTGGAAAATTTAGGAAAATTATAACTTCCGATAAGGTACTCTCTCTCTACACTCATAAGATTAGCTTGAAACCCACATTGAAATGGAAGAGGAACCAGTGCAAGGGAAGCCCAGGCATATCCCTAGGAAGCATCTAGAGGACTGCTCCAAAATGAGAGGAACAGATCAGATGATCTGAGGAGTAGTACCGAACCACATCTGAGCCAGATATCTTGCCACGAGCATCAATATGATTAGGAGGACCAGACATGGCAGAACATTAAAGGGAGCACATTCGCGTGGGAGAGGGGCGCTCGTGTGGATGTTGGTACCCAGTGAGTGAGGTTTAGAAGATTGAGTGAAACAATCACATATGTCCTCACACAGGTTTCGAGTTGACTTTCTTCCCCTCTCAACTCATCTTCTGTGTTGTGGGTTGCAGAAGGTCTACATGGCCTGTTTCCTCTTCTGTCCTGTGTCTACCCTGTGAGTTCCTGGAGTCGATTGTTAGGTTCTCTCCTGACTCTGGGACTTGAGGTGAAGATGGTATGGTCCTCATTCTACCCTCGCGAGCATGTCAGTACCCAGCGAGTGAAGTTTTGGATGTAGTTGTTAACCAAGTATTGTCCCTCGTGCCCTATCCACTCTATAACCATGGGATACATCCTCACTTGCCCAATTTCCATTGTGGGATTGAGTGATTCTGATTTCTGTTTAAGATCACATTGCTAAACTATCCTCTTCATCCTTATCTCTACATTGGCTTGTCTGTTGTCTTTGGATTTTGCATTAAAATGTGGTTTATTTATTGTTGTAGAGGGAGTTACAAGATCCTCTGGAGGAGTAACTATTTCCCGGATGGTACGATGCCCAAATGCAGTTTACCCCTCTGATTGGGTGCTCTCATTCTATTCTCTCTTATATGAAACTTCCTGATCCTATTTTCCCCTGCCCCCCGATATTAAGGTTCACATGGACCGACCTGCCTCTCAACTGGGGGAGGGCATTAGTATGCCTCCTCCCCCATGGACTTCGGATCAGTTGGGCCTTGCTTATCATTGGCCAGACTTTCATTTTCTCGACCAACAGTTCTACCTGTTTGGGGGGTGAACCCAGATTACCCTGTCCAACTTACACAAGCCAAATTTTCTCGCCTTGTCTCACTCTCATAACTCTGTTAAGGTACCTTTTTTTCCCTTTACCTTTTGTCAGAGGCTCTTCACAGGAACTGTGAGGAGGTTTTCTGCTGAAATGGTCTAGGTTTACAGGAAACAGGAGACAAAACATCACACACCTGAGAGATAAAGTCTGAAAAGATTGAGAAGGGATGTGCTAAATCATCAGGTAGTACACAAGAAGGCGCAGCAAACTCTGGATGGGGAACCAACGATCAAAATCATCTATGGCCCGGCACAAAAGGCTCAAGAGGAAGTGGGGCAGAAGTAGGTAAGATAGGTTGACTCATATGCCACTCAATCTCCTGGTGAATGAACGAATATTCTTGACGGGTCATTCATGCTAGTGGCTGAAAATACGGCATCAGATGTTGATGAAGTACCTGAAGTGGTGACTGTAACTTTGGAATTCATAAGTGGGAAAGATGAGTAAGTAATGCTTTATTAAAATATTAACTCCACAACTGTGAAGTGTTGGAAATAAAGTTAAGAAAAATATTACAAATGAAAAAAATAAACCAAGGTAACTGAACAATGTAAAAAAGAACGTCTGAACTCTGTAACTGCCAATAGAGAAGTGATAGTTTGGTAGTGGCATGTAGAGGGAATCACATGTGCCAAGTGATAATAGTACTCTCCTACTGGTGGAGAGGTGACACATGATGATTTGTCTGAGAAGCAAGTTGGAATTCCAAAACAGAGGGAGGATGAAGGCTTGTGGCATGCATTTCTAAAAAAGTTAACACACAGACAGCAGCACAAAACGAGAAATGCTAATCTTGTGAGTGGAAGGAGAGTACCTTATCAGAAACTTCCTTTAAGTTTTTTTCTCATTGACCTTCTAACCATAAAGGAACCATCAGAGTTTCCATACTATAACTTTTAATATGTTTTGTATATCTTCCTGAAATTTTGCAACCTTTCAGTAAATATTACAAGTCTTTTGTACATAAAATAATCAGATTCTTTAATTAAGTACTTTTACTAAAGATTTGTCCATGAATATATGGAATCAGAGTGATGATTGCTCTGAATGCAAAATGCTTTCCTGTTAAGAATAAAAATACTTGTCTTCATCTGAAAAGTTTCAAATTTCATTTGTGTAACTTCTAAAACCTCCTAAACATATATCAAATGTTTTCTTTTTAGATAAACATTATATTTTGTCTCTTTCCTCTACTTTAACTTTATATATATACTCAGTTAATATGATGGACATTTTAACCACCATAAAAAGAGTATGAAATAAACCTAGATTACTTTTTTCTTTTCAAATTACTGCACATTGTAACAGGAAACTACAGTCAATTATCCTAAATAACCTAAGGTTTGTAATAATCCACATATGTGTATACATAATTTTATTGTTTTATTGCTCAATGAAGAAGCTCACTGAGTGATCTAAAACTTATGTGGGAGAATTATTAGTTAGACATATGAAGCACAGGTTACCATACTGAATGATGTAATGCACAAACAGCTAGTGAAGAATTTTTATTATTATTTTCCATTATATTACCTAATCTAATCTAATAAATCTATAATTTTTACATTTTAGTTACTTTTATAAGCATATATAAAGAATATACATGAAAAACAAGAGATCTAGTTCTTAACTTTGACCTCATTTTTTTGCTGTTGGTTGTTGATGAAATTTAAGTCTACTCTTCTTTTATAATCATAGCACTAGTACACTAAATAATTATTTATTTATTTAACTCTTTCAGCACAGGCTCGGTCCCCAGGACCGAGCTCGTAACCATTTTGTGCTTGTTATAGTTTTCATGCTATAACTTTTAAATTAGTATGCAAATGTTAA